ACCTTAGCCGCCTCCTGCGCTGCGCCCCGGGCCGGCCTCGGTCGCCCCATTCCCACCCCGCCCTGCCTCCGCCTGTTTACAATGATTGGGACGGAACAGGACCAGCCGGCCCAGCGCGCACGCGCACTTCCTCCTCCCGCCGCAACCGGCTTCCCGGGTCCTCCTCTCTTCCCTTTGACGGCGAAGGCCATCCAGGGCAAATGCCCAGTGCCCTTGCGCAGGGCCCGCTGGGAGGCGTAGTTCTTTGAATCTTAGTGCCTAGCCTGCCTAGTGGCCCTTCTGTCGAAAATTAAACTACAACCCCCAGAGTGCACCGCGCCTTTTGGGCCCCCGGGCTCGCTAAAGGAGCGCGCGAGAGAACGCGCCGAGAGCTAGTGCTCTGCAGGCGCCTGCGCAGTCCCTGATAGTGAGAGACTGGGTGGGTCGTACACCTACCTTAAGCGAACCCTAGAACTGGTTTAGGCAGCTACTGCAGTGGTTTTAAGAAGGAAAACGGTTTCCTCTTCACGCTCTGGCCAGCCTGGTCTTCATCAACCGAAGTTGAGAGCTTTTCTTGTGCCAGCTGGCTTCGCTCAGTTCCAACTAGTTAAACCAGCTAGGGAGACCGGTTCAGCCCGCCCCTGGGTGGGGCATCTTCCAGGCCTTCGGGGTGGAGAATCTTTTCGCTTAGGGTTGGGACGCTTGCTCGCGGGGAGGGGGAGTTTGGAGAAAGGAAGCACCACGTTCTGGGGAAAGAGACTTCTCTAAAACTCCATCGGGACTATGCGCAGAATCCCTAAAATGGGTGTTGGTTCTCGTGGAGATTGCTGTCTTCCACCGTACGCTTTGACAAACACCTGAAGTCAAACTGCCAAGCAACATGTTCATTACAAATAGAAACAAGTTTCCTTCACAAACTGCTGCTGATGCATATCGTTCTGCGAGCTTACGTTGAGTTGTTCTGCTAATGCATATTGACTGGAAACTAGGGGGTCTTTTAAAATCGTATTGTTTTGTAAAATTTGATAGTATTAGGGAAAATACAGGATTTGGAATAGACGACCCTTCACAATCACTTCCGTTCATACCGCAAAATTCTAGAACTTCACTACCTGTTTGGGTTGACTGTTTCAACCTATCTGGCGCTAAACCTCCCAGATCCGCTTTCCTCAAATCTGAGGATAAAATCTGTCCCTTGTACTACATTCCTTACTCAGAGAATTCATCCCCTTCAGTCTGGCATTCAGGAGCCTCCCACAGTCATGTTTTCCAACTCTCAGAAAAATCCTTCTCATTACCCCCTCGATCCATGGCAATAGACATATTTCTTCCAACATAAAATTGCCTGTCCACAGTAGAAAGAATGAGGCTAAAGAGGAGTCTGGTGTGAGAGACAGAAAAAAGGAGACCTGGAAAGAGAAAAATCAAGAACTGGCAGGGTGGGACCAGCAGTTAGTGTAATGTCTATGTCACTGGATTCCCATGTAGTGACCGCGGTTTGAGTTCTGGGTCCGGTGGCTTAAACTCGCTGGGCGCCTGTGCAAGAGTGCCCAAGATCCCGAGAGGAGAATAGAGGAGAAGGGATTATAGCGTAGCCAATCTCCCTGGGGGGTGATTTCTTGATTTCTTGCTTTCTGTCTCTCTGTCTCTCTCTGTCTGTCTGGCAAGTACACACGCCTTATTGCAAAAATCTAAAAAAGAAAAAAAGAAAAAAAAAAAAGAACTGGTGGGGTGAAGACTGGTTTCATTCAAGAGCTATTGTTTGTGTAGCTCATCTTTAAGTTTTAAGTACTGTATGTGAGCCTAGGTGGATGAGCCAGTACACTTACTTGTTTCTTCTTTAAGGCTAATTGTGTATGTGGAACATATTTGTTGGCTGCCTTCTGACCACTCATTCCATATAAGCCATGTAACACAACCATCCCCTCCTTGACTGTCAACCTGAAACAAAGAGATCTGACCCAAGCTTACCTGAGCATAGATTAATCAAACCAAAGAGTGTGGGTAGCTACCTGATGAACGTAGATATCAGTTGTCTGGAATCTATGCTTATCAAAATGGTCTCTGAAATGGACTAGACTTATAAAGAATTTAGGAGGGACCGGTAGATGGCATAATGGTTATGTCACTGGGCTTCCCATATAGTCAACCAAAGTTTGAGTCCCAGACCTGGTGGCTTAAACTCATACTGGATGTGTGCGTGTGCATGCCCAAAATCCCGAAAGGAGAATGGAGAAGAGATTGTGGCATGGCCATCACCCGGGGTGGTGTGTCTGTGGAGGGGTAGATTTCTCACTTTCTGTCTCTCTGTCTTTCCGGTGAGTGCACACACAACTATAGCAAAAATCTCTTTTAAAACAAACAAAAACATTGGAAAGAAAGGGGCTTATAAAGTTCATGTTTCCCTTAAGAACCCACATTGGTTAATAAGGATAGTGCAAGCTTCTGATTAGCTTTCTGATTTCTTGTATGTGATACATTCCAGTAACATCACTACAGGCAAGAGGTGGGGCTACAATGAACAATATGCAGTTTGTGGTAACCTAGTGTAGTTTATTTTACCATCAGCTAGTTAGGGAATTCTGTGTGTATCTTTGAGCAAATAGTTCAGACAGGTGTGAGGCTTCATACTCCTGACCTTTCTGAGGCCAATTTTAGCAGACTCCCTCATTCCTTAGACAACTTTTAACTTTTCTTTCTCATGATTGAGAATTTCAGAGATAGTTACGTAACCCAATCAGAACCAATGAGCCCACAAGGACTTGGATTAGGGCTTAGTCTGATAAACTGTGGTGTAAGTATATAAGGTCTGAAAACCAAGCAACTCTTTTGTTCCTAAAAGGGGGAAGACTAGAGGGATGGGAGTTCAGGGGGAAGGCCATCAGCAGAATCTGAGGATGAAGTCAATACAGTCATTCTATTGTTTGTGTAGCTCATCTTTAAGTTTTAAGTACTGTATGTGAGCCTAGGTGGATGAGCCAGTACACTTACTTGTTTCTTCTTTAAGGCTAATTGTGTATGTGGAACATATTTGTTGGCTGCCTTCTGACCACTCATTCCATATAAGCCATGTAACACAACCATCCCCTCCTTGACTGTCAACCTGAAACAAAGAGATCTGACCCAAGCTTACCTGAGCATAGATTAATCAAACCAAAGAGTGTGGGTAGCTACCTGATGAACGTAGATATCAGTTGTCTGGAATCTATGCTTATCAAAATGGTCTCTGAAATGGACTAGACTTATAAAGAATTTAGGAGGGACCGGTAGATGGCATAATGGTTATGTCACTGGGCTTCCCATATAGTCAACCAAAGTTTGAGTCCCAGACCTGGTGGCTTAAACTCATACTGGATGTGTGCGTGTGCATGCCCAAAATCCCGAAAGGAGAATGGAGAAGAGATTGTGGCATGGCCATCACCCGGGGTGGTGTGTCTGTGGAGGGGTAGATTTCTCACTTTCTGTCTCTCTGTCTTTCCGGTGAGTGCACACACAACTATAGCAAAAATCTCTTTTAAAACAAACAAAAACATTGGAAAGAAAGGGGCTTATAAAGTTCATGTTTCCCTTAAGAACCCACATTGGTTAATAAGGATAGTGCAAGCTTCTGATTAGCTTTCTGATTTCTTGTATGTGATACATTCCAGTAACATCACTACAGGCAAGAGGTGGGGCTACAATGAACAATATGCAGTTTGTGGTAACCTAGTGTAGTTTATTTTACCATCAGCTAGTTAGGGAATTCTGTGTGTATCTTTGAGCAAATAGTTCAGACAGGTGTGAGGCTTCATACTCCTGACCTTTCTGAGGCCAATTTTAGCAGACTCCCTCATTCCTTAGACAACTTTTAACTTTTCTTTCTCATGATTGAGAATTTCAGAGATAGTTACGTAACCCAATCAGAACCAATGAGCCCACAAGGACTTGGATTAGGGCTTAGTCTGATAAACTGTGGTGTAAGTATATAAGGTCTGAAAACCAAGCAACTCTTTTGTTCCTAAAAGGGGGAAGACTAGAGGGATGGGAGTTCAGGGGGAAGGCCATCAGCAGAATCTGAGGATGAAGTCAATACAGTCATTCTTCTTCTTCTTCTTTTTTTGGAGAGGGTTTTAGTATAAGGCGCGTGCACTTGCCAGAAAGATAGAGAGACAGAAAGCGAGAAATCACTCCCCAGGAGGGATGGCCACACCACAATCCCTTCTCCTCCATTCTCCTCTCGGGATCTTGGGCACACATGCACACGCGCCCGGCGTGAATTTAAGCCACCAGGTCTGGGTCTCAAACCGCAGTCAACTACGTGGGAGTCCAGCGACATAGCCATTACACCAACTGCTGGTCTCAATACAGTCATTCTTCTAAGGGCAGGAATATGTTCTGAGAAATGTGAAGTTGGGCAATATCATTGTGGTTTGAACGTCAACTTACACAAACCTAAGTAATACAGCCCACCACACAGACTATTTGAAATAGCCTATCCCTTCAAGTCTACAAACCTGAACAGCATGTTATTGTACTGAATATAGTAGGCAGTTGTAACAATGCTAAGTATTTATCTAAACATAACTAAATACAGAAAAGGTACAGTAAAAATATGGCATAAAAGATTTCTTAAAAAATGGTATGCCTGGATAGCGTGTTTACCATAAATGGAACTTTGAAGACTGGAAAATGCTCAGCGTGAGACAGAATGAGTGGTGAGTGAATAAGAAGACCTAACACATTCTTGTACACCATTATCAAGTGATAAAGAATTACTTAATTTTAATTATTATTATTTTTTAATTTGACTGAAGAGGAACAGGGTTGGGGGGGGGGCAGTGAAAAAGCAAGCACCAGGTTTGGGACTCAAACTACAGTTGGCCATGAGGGAGTCCACCATCTTAACCACCACACTACCTGCTGGCCCCCATTGCAGACTGTATAACACTGTATAACACAGAGTTAGCATCATCGATATCTTCCGGTGGCCAGACAGTGACATAGGGACAACTCAGTGCCCTATGAGGCTGATCCACAAGGAGAGGCTCTGGATTCAAAGAGGTCTGGAGAGGCATAGATTTCTATGAGTTGGGGCTAGCTAAGTCTGGTGGGGGCATCATGGAGTAAAGACCCTGTTGGGGCTCTCTCTCTCTTGTTCTCTTACTTGGGGAAGAAGTAAATAAACAAGCAAACAAAAGCTCTTCCACCTCCACATGTGTCTCAATAGAAGGGCCATGGTGAACAAAACATGAGAGTAAATCAGCACAAGAGAAAATTACACGATCAAAAATGGTGGCAAACATGGGCTGTAAGAGGCTGCTGCCAGTATAGAACATCATACTGTCTTACAGTAAGCTTATTTATTCATACGCGCATGCATGTAGAAGGACACTCTGCCAATAAAAAGTATGGTAGACTAAAACATAAACCAAGAGCATAGTCATTTACTAGCATTATCAAGTATTATGTACAGTAAATAATTATGTGTGCTATACTTTTGAACAGCTGGCAGGTTTTGAACAGGTTTGTTTATACCAGCATCACCGCAAACATGTACTATGATGTTATAATGGCTAGTGGCCACTAGGTAATAACAATTTTTTAACTTTATAGTT